ATCTAGTCAACGTTTATCTGAAAATATTTGTTTTTTTTTTTACCCAAGCCTTATCTACACAGCACATGATAATGTAAAGTACTAGATTGGGAAGAAGGTCTGTTTGTCCACTCCAAAGGATTTACCGAATGATCGATCACAGAGGAGTGTAATAAATGTGTATTAAGAAAGTTAAAAAAAATAAAATAAAATAAAGTACCAGACTGGTGGAACTAACCTTATTGGATGTTTTTAACAGCCATAGCTTGAGGCCTATACTAATATGGTCAGAGGGACTTAAAGGATAGTTTTTGCCCCTTGCCCTTCAAGGTTGACTAAGTTCCAGGGGACTATGGAACATTTCTCAAAATGTGCTGTAACTGTGGTGAGTCACCTGTCCTCTTATTCAGGGAGACCCCACGAGATGGACTTGAACCAGTGTCCAGTCTACAAAGAGGAGGGTCACCTCAGAGGAAACATTTCTTCCATACTTCCAAGTGAAGCCAGCCATAGTCGAGCAGGACCTTTGACTTATCTTTACATAGATGGAACTGGTAATAGAAAGGAGCCAGGAGCTCCTCCCAAGTCCATGTGACCCCTGAGGAACAGATCCTCAAATGACCTTAAGTGTAAAAATAAATTGACTTGGGCCGGGTGTGGTGGTACACACCTTTAATCCCAGCACTCTGAAGGCAGAGGCAGGTGGATCTCTGTGAATTCAAAGCCAGCCTGGTCTACATAGTGAGTTCCAGGACAGCTGGGGCTACAGGGAGACCCTGTCTCAAAAAGACCAAAAATAACTGTAAGAGTTCAAGGGATTATACCTCCCAGACATTAGGCTTAAGTCCATATAAAAAGCTATTTAGACAGTTATTTCTCATTGATGATTTTGTTCCTAACCAGAAAGTGCTGCTCAGATATAAGAACTCAAATCTTGGTCTCCAATACTGTAGTGCCCACCCGTAGCTAAGGGAGACGACCAGCTATTGTTCTAAAATGATGGATAAAATGATGGATAATTTTCTTCCCCTATCTAGAAGCCTTTGAGAGTGAACTGACACTGATTCTAACCACTCCAACAGCTATCAAAATACCTGAAAGCAAATCCTGAATCTATCACCCTAGAGTCCAGCCTTGGAAGACAAAAGAAAAATGAGGAGGAACCCAATAGAGGGGATGCTCTCAGAAGCCCATCAAGAAAATCCAATGGACTCTCATATGAACATTTGAAAATTGCCCAGCTCTGACTTTTTTCTAGCTCCCTGTCTAGAACTTGTAATGCTAATTACTCTTGCCTTTACTTCTCCTTCACATCTCCTATTCATGATTCAAAGACTTTCTTTTCCTCCTTGAGATAAGAGTTATGCAATTTGGGAGCCTTTTAGATAGACCCACTGAAGGGGTACTCCAATTGCCTCTTCCTGTGTCCCTGTTCAGCATAGAAGAAGCCAGAGCGGTCTGTGTCCCGATTCCCTGTTGGCAATTTGGGTAACCTCTTCAGAGGATGGTGTGATAAGAATAGGAGGTAAGTATTCCCTAGGCAGTTAGGGTAAAAAGACCCCAAAGGAAAGTGGACAGTTGCTTGGCTAAAACTCAAAATGTCCTTGGGCCTCTTAGCAACCTACTCCGTTCCAAAGGCCAAAAATGTCTAAAATATTTAGGAGCTTTTATCTAATCCTTAAAAGATTTTAAGGATTTT